TATGAAGAAAGCACTACTAAATGACACCATCATGCTGATAATTGAGATAAACAATGCCACTAGTCCAAATATCAACTTCAATGGCAATGACTTGAGAAAGTCTTCCTCAGCATATCGTGAAATGAGGATGGACAAGAAGATTAGGATTGAGGTTGAGGAAGAGACCAATGCCAATGCATCTGATAATGCAAATACCATGAACCAGGGTTTCATCGTCAAATAATTGGGAAATGCTAAGTTGTCGTTGTTAGCACCGAGGCTGAAGGCAGCAGAAAGCACTCCTGTTGCAATTAGGGTTGCAACAACCATGCAAGAGTTTGCTGTTCTTTTCATCCATGACTCTCCCTTTTTTAGCAACTCTTGGTGATCCTTGATGAATAGTTCTCGTGGAGTAATGCCTTCATGGTTTGCCAGCTCTATAAATGATGGTAGCATTATCTTTTTTACCTCCTGTTGCCACATCAAGAGTATGTACATAATGTCATTTATGTATAACTACATAATATATTTGCTTCACTAAGCTATACATGCATAAGTTAAGGTTTTTTTTTATTTTTTTTTTATTTTTTATGTACAATGATGGCAATAAGAATAAAATTTAAGACCTCATTCAATAAATTCTCCATTATTAGGTCAATCTAAGTGGGTAATTAAAGATTGTGTTTGTTTTAAAACATCAATTTCTAAAAGTAAACTTGAATCCAATTTTTTTTTATAAATTTTTTATCATTAACTAAATGTCAGTCAGTAGTATTCTTGAGAATAGAATTGCAATGTTATATCTTAAAGCAAATGTCTAGCTAGCTTAAAAGAATCAAAATGGATTATATATAATTCTACCATTATGTAAAAGTAAAGTAATCATGATACGTAAAAGGAGAAACAAATAAAAGGGAATAATATAGAAAATAAAATTAATTAAGAAGCTGGGAAAACATATAAGTTCCATACCTCAAACCATGACAACTCAAGCATCATTTGAAGAGCTGCTCCAGAAAATATATTAAGTCGTTCTTGTGGTGCTAATTTTGCAACACAGTGGAGTAAAGTGTTGCCTTCATCATCCATATATGTTAATACGAAATCTTTGGTTGGTCCTATTTCGTGTATCAAATTGAAGATGCTAGAATGACGGTGCAAAGCAGCAACATGAATTATACTTTGACCTAAGGTGTTTAATTCCCAAATCAAATCAGGATAAGTGCTCATCACCACAGATAGAAACTCGAAATTTCCAACTTCTGCTGCAAGGAATGTTACTTGTGTAGGCTCTTTTACGGCATACATAAACTCTGAAGGGAGAACATGCTGACTCACTCACAGACTCAGACCCCTATAGAACTCAAATAAACTCAGCTGGACTCCAGCAAACTTAGATTGAATCACAAGCCTGAGGATGATTTAACAAGTCTGATTGAGTGCTTCAAATTTCCCACCAAGATTCCATTAACAACTTTGTTCATCTTACGTTTCCTTTCCTTTTAACTTCCCTGACTGCACACCAGATAATCATGCTCAAAACGGAGCATGATACTACTGCATCTCATTTGCACCACAACCTATTCCTTCAATAACCCATTGCTACAGCTAGCTGACAATCTTGACAGAAACAACCTAGCAATATTCCATCAAGGCTGTGTGCTCCCACTGATCAGGGAGCCTCTGGTGACAAGCTTGGTTGCTCTGACAATATTCAATCAGTGTTGTGTGATTTAAAATCTGTAATGATCCAACAACTAGACTGGTTTCTCTGAACTTCGGATCTGTGCAAGTGCAGCCTTAGGTAAACTCTTACGAGTTTACAAGTCAAGTCTAAGGATGCTTCACAAATTTACATAAACTCTCAAGTTTGACAACCTTGTTTATAGTTGTTTTTTGCAATCATAATCATAATACATGCCAATTTGGATTGATGAATGGTAGACTATTCTAAACCGTACATCTTATGATTTATTATGACCACATCTAAGTATTCAACAACTTTGATTGATTGATATGGTTTTATTTTCCATTACAAAAACTTGAGGAAACAATATCCAGTCCAATAGCTGCTTTAGGCATAATAAGCAATCCAGTGACGAGATACATTGAAATTCAGCATTGACAGAAAATTATCAAGGGCATGACTAAATAGGAAAATTATAATTTCCTAGGGATTTATATCAAGCTACAAGAATAACAGAATCTCAATCTTAATTCAACATATAAAAGCATTTAAAACACAAACAATAAATATTCAGATTTAGGAATGATGAGCAAAAATGCGACATCAAGAAATGGGATTATTATTGCTAAATGCCAGCATTAAAAGCAGGGAGAAGATTTTATTATTGATTCATTTTCTCTTAACTCTTTAAAATAGTAATAAATCATAAAAGTTGTATACCACACAAGCTTTTCTTTTAATATTTAAAAAAATAAATTGTTAATTAAGAGAACAAATTAAAAAGGGAGGATACGGAAAAAAGAGCAAAACACAAATAGGTATGTTTAGTCTAACATCAACTAGAAATATGACCAATGTAGTTCTTATAAGACTTAGACAACCCTCACCTAACAATATAAATTCTTATAGGGTTGAGCCATTGAAAAAAAGAAAGGAGGTATTCCCACTTATTAGAGCAAAGAATGGAAAGACGGGTATGAATGTAAAATGATATTTTGGTATGAGTAGCATCAATCTTAATCTTGTCTTCCCGACCATAAGTCAACACTTGGTCATCCCCTTATGTTACGGAAAGTTAGGTTCAAACATTTGATGTCTAACATAGACTGAAATTTACAAACAAAATTAATATATTTCTCTGATATTCACTATTTTTGCATTCTAATATTGGCACAGGAAGGGGTGAAGAAGATTATAATCCAATATTATATCTTTTCTTTTTTAGAATTAGAATAAATTAAGTTAGAAAACACAAAGAATAAAGGTGAATTTAGCTTGATAATCCAGGCTTCAATAGAAGTCATAAGAATTAAATCCCTTAAAAACAAGGATCAAAGGAATTGTCCAAAAAATCTTATTATAGTTTTGCAAAAAAAAAGAATAAACGAAAAAAAATGAAAAATAGTAAATTGCAGCTCTAAAAGCAGAGTAGCATGTTATGAATTGCATAACACCAACACATAAGAAATAGCATGGTATTAATCACCTCATGATCATCAATATCAGAAAGACTTTCTGATTCATTTTGAGTTTCTGTGTTCAGATCATCTTCTTTATGTGACTCATCATGCTCACCATCTTTAGTGGCCACATTTTCATTAATCACTGGAAACATTTTAAGCAAATTAGGATTGCAAAACTATGAGCAGAGAAATTATAGTAGCCAAGAAAGATAAAGACAAATGAAAGCCCCTACCAATACTTTCTGCCACTGAGGTATGTAATTCTTCTATTTGGCTCCTGCATTCATTGTTTGACTCTTCCACCAACTAACCAAAAGAACATTCAAAAAAATACGTGAGATTTTATGCTAAGTTAGCTCATAGCACTTTGAAGATTGCAAATGGGCATCATGTCCGAAAAGAGAAAATTCAGTTGACTAGATTAACATTAGATGCTCCTATATGGCTTGTGACATGGTCATGTTCAAGACAATTCATATCATTATCAGGAATTTTGTAGTGGATGCGTTGATGAGAGTAAATTTTAATATTAATGACAAATAGGTGCTAAACTGCACAAGATTTTTGGCCTCGTAGCTCATGATATCTTATGCAGCTGATTCTCACTTTATCAACATTCAGTTAGAACTGGAAGATCTATGGGTTTTTCTTGGTGAGGCATGACCATATGTGTTCTGGTTTGAAATATGGCATCAGTGAGCACCTAAGTTTGTGGCATTTACAGAAAGGAAATGCATACTAGCATAAGACCTAGTCAAGGTGTACTTACATTGTGTGATTGATTAGAATTTTCCTTGGAATGTGATTTTATCATTCTCTCCTTCTCCGCACGTTGGAATGCAGGAGGATCCAAACCACCACCAAGTCCACCAGATAGTTTATCAAACTAGAACAATTAGTTGAACAATATATGACAACAATCAATAGTGCTTAATAAAAGACAAAAATCTGCATCAGGAAGAAATGACTCAGCTCCTTGTAACATATTTCACATAATCCAAGTGCAAAATAGGACTCAGAACCGAGTGTAACATTTCAACTAGGGTCTAAACATTTTGGAGGGAATAGTGTGTCATTGGTGTGTGTCATTCAAGGGATTAGAATCACTGATAAAGCTTGTTTAGGTACAAGTTTGAAAGAGCCTTCCAAGCTTTTCTACTAGAAATTATTTTCCGTGTAAATTTTTTTAAAAACTCTTGTAAATTTATATCAAAATAGACAGGCTCAGTATTAGTTCAGGTTGAATAAGTTTTTCATACGTATTTATAGGAAGAAAATAAGAATATAAAATTAATTGAGTTTAATTTTTACAAACTACTATAGGTTAACATAATGGTTAAGGATATTGAGATTAATGTATAAGAATTGATGTTTGATTCTTACTGTTATTTTCTACTAATTAAAAAAGTTGAGTTTTCTGCATATGTTAAAATCATTTACAAGTCTTTGGAGAAATTAGATACAAAAGATTACACTAAGAGAAATGTTAACAATATATTATCTAACACATTTTTTTTATTGTTAGTCAAAATTTATTAGAAATTACAAAATTTTGTAACATCAACTTCTTATTTAATGAATTTCAATCATAATTTTATAATTTTTAATAAATTTTAACCAATAATAAATAGTACTATAGATAGTAAATTAATAATACTCCTCAAAAATTAAATTATACAAGTTAATTTTAAAATGAAACTCAACTTATTTATTTATTTACTTTCAATTATGAAAAAAATTATTCAAATAAGAACTTGATATAGTTTTATAGAGATTAACCATCTCATGGATTAGTAACTTACGAGTGGAAACTAAATGAGGGGGAGGCGTCCTAGACAGAGCCGAAGCTGCCTTCTGAAATAGTCGTTGGAAAGATGTTGAGCTTGTTCCCGCCATTTCTGTAAATGTTAAGAGAACATACAAAAAAAAAATTGTTATATCTTTTCAGTTTTCAGTAATTAGTTAGCAACTTTAATACGCACGAAATGACAATCTTCTAATATTTATCATCCATTGGAGTCTTGCCTAGAGAAAAAAATGTAATCGTTTTGACTTTGAGAGTGCCCATAAAAATAGTCCAACAATGTCTGAAAAGTAATATGATTAATTTCTTCGAAAGTGAATCACAGCTAAAATTTAGCTTTAAATTTTGAAGATATAAAAAAAAGAAGAATGCAATTCATTTATATAAATAAAAAAATTTAACTTTAAATTCACACAATTTAACACATGCGATAATCCCTTCAACATTTATATAAATAAATAAAAAACGCAATTCATTCTGACACAAAATTGAACACACAGACCTAATACATCATCTAAATCATTCCAATCCTTTATAAAATAAAAATAATAATAACACACTTGCTAAATCACGCATAATCAACCGACTGTAATTTCGCAAAACGTGACATAAAAGAACAAAAGAATCAGAGACAAGAAACACTCGCAAGCATCAAGTTCATGAAATAAAAATCTCATTAATCACTTCATGGAAGGAAAACTTCTGTTACGATCAGTTATGAGTTATGACAGTTCAGAACTACAGTTAGTAAATTTGTTAGATAGTTGACGAGCTTCTGGGACAAGAGTCATGAATGCTATTAAATACAATGTAAGCATTCAGTTCTGAACACAGCAAAATTATATTTCGGAATTTCATTTTCTCTGCAATTTTTCTGTTTCTTCTGTCAATACTAGGTCTAAAAGAATTCAACAAACACAAAGATAATTGATACGTGACCCACTGTAGCAAAAGGTTTTAACATGCATAAATGGATATAGATGAAGCATTATTTTTATGGAAAACTGAGAGGACCAGAAAGTAGTAAGATTAGTTGTTGAAGTTGTAAAGGCAGGGAATTAGCTTAAATGGAGGAGAGGGTAGAGGAGCCGCATTCTGTTTGTTGCGTTACCATTTGAGAACTGAGCATTAGTCGTATTGTACATTTGGGAAACCTTTTGTGAAGAAAAAAACTCTTCAAAGGAGAATTCTCTCCTTAGGTTCTTTGTTTTCAATTCAATAAAACACTACCAAAATACCCTTCCTCTTTTCCTATCACTGTGTTTCTCATCTCTCTAAAATCTCCGAACCATTTCAGGGTTTCTAAAAAAACAATTGCAAAGCATGTCCCCATCATTGTCAAGGTATAAAAAAAGAGTCAGAAATAGAAGGTACAACTAAGGTGATTGAACAACATATATAAATACCACAAGTAACTTGAAAAGCTCAAAAATGCAGCAAAGTTGCCTGCCTCTACAAATCAAAAAAATGCAACATCATTTAAATCAATGTTTTAATAATTGGACCAGGCACTGAACTGATGAAGTCACGGGTTCATGATTTACATGTCCAACCATGGGCAAACTGGTATATATATTTACAATCAAGTGATATAACAATATCTTAAATTTTAACAATTGACATATTCATACGTTTAAATTTAAAAATGTGGCTTAACCCACTATTCTAAGATGGTATCAGAGTTATCCTAGATTCTTAAAAATGGGTCACCCACCATTCATTGATACATGCACCATGGGCATGAGGGGGTGTATTTCAAGTCCTGTCAATTAGAAAAGGGCCACCTACCATTGAGGGGGTGTATTTCAAGTCCCGTCAAATAAGAACTTGATATAGTTTTATAGAGATTAACCATCTCATGGATTAGTAACTTACGAGTGGAAACTAAATGAGGGGGAGGCGTCCTAGACAGAGCCGAAGCTGCCTTCTGAAATAGTCGTTGGAAAGATGTTGAGCTTGTTCCCGCCATTTCTGTAAATGTTAAGAGAACATACAAAAAAAAAATTGTTATATCTTTTCAGTTTTCAGTAATTAGTTAGCAACTTTAATACGCACGAAATGACAATCTTCTAATATTTATCATCCATTGGAGTCTTGCCTAGAGAAAAAAATGTAATCGTTTTGACTTTGAGAGTGCCCATAAAAATAGTCCAACAATGTCTGAAAAGTAATATGATTAATTTCTTCGAAAGTGAATCACAGCTAAAATTTAGCTTTAAATTTTGAAGATATAAAAAAAAGAAGAATGCAATTCATTTATATAAATAAAAAAATTTAACTTTAAATTCACACAATTTAACACATGCGATAATCCCTTCAACATTTATATAAATAAATAAAAAACGCAATTCATTCTGACACAAAATTGAACACACAGACCTAATACATCATCTAAATCATTCCAATCCTTTATAAAATAAAAATAATAATAACACACTTGCTAAATCACGCATAATCAACCGACTGTAATTTCGCAAAACGTGACATAAAAGAACAAAAGAATCAGAGACAAGAAACACTCGCAAGCATCAAGTTTCATTTTCTAATTTCATTTATATTAGAAAGCTATGGCTAATCGGCGAGGATGCAACAGAATACGAAAAGAATGATGCGAAATATAAGTTTAAATCATACTCAATTTGGGACAAAATAATATTAGAAATTACTCCTTTCATCCCATAGTAAGTGTCACATTTGAAGAAAAAACAAGTCTCAAAATAAGTATACCATATTAGTTTACCAATGCAGTATTCATGACCACTTTTCCATTTGTAACCCTCATAATATTCTTTAGAAAATGGTTATTCTAATGCATTGTTCATAGTAAAATTTTTTTAATTAAAATTCTAAGACATCGTGTAGTCTAAACACTTTATCTAGAGCTATATATATGCTATCAATTTGATCTTAATTTTATTAGAAAGCTAAGATAATTATATACAACTTATATATTGACATTAAGATCTAATTTAATCATGCATCTAGTATTTTTAACAAATACAAAACCGCATCATTTCAGCCTATAATTGATAACCCTGATCTTTGCTCAATAATTTGATTAAAACTTGAGTTCTAGACCTTTTTTTCAAGTGATTCTAAAGAAATTTGAAAGCTAACATCTATGAATACAATTATCATGAAGACCACAAAAGAAAATTCGGCCATCTACTACTACTTACTGAGCAAACATTGTCTCGCTAAGTGAGTTGAGCTTCCTAGAGCCTCTCACTGAAGAACTAACACTCACTACCAAAAAAAATGATAAATAGTGGAGCTTATTTTACGGAAGTTTTAAAATCCTCCTCAAATTATTAAAATCTGACATTTTCTTGTTAACCTCTACAAATTAAAATATTATTTTAATTTATAGAGGTTTATAACCTCCTCTAATTAAAAAATTTTTTTCCACTTAAATATTTTTTCTCTAGAAGTTAAAACAAAAGGAAATTAGAAAGGCTAAGGAATCTTCTTCAGAGGAAATGAGGGGAAAAACAAAGAACAAACAAGCAAGCCTCTGCAAAAAACCAAAACAAAGGAGAAAGGACCCTTGCAGTGACTTGCAAATCCTTTCCCATTAAACCCTTTTAGAAACATATAATCATAAGGCAGAAAATGAAATCCTAACTTACAATATCTGACTTAGTGCACTTGACCCCATGTGCAAGCGCAGCCATGTAAATTGCGCCACCCCATAACCCACTAGTTTTCCTCCCTGTCTGTTTTTCAAACATTAGCAATCCCATCACAATAATAAGAAGAATAATTCTATTCAGAAAAAGAAAGAAATAAAGAGCAAGTCAGAGAGAGAGACACGAAAAATGCCAGATCAACATCGCATTACCTGCATCCAGTCACGTTTCATGCTGGCAATAATACTAAGTGCAGTTTCAGAGACAAACACATTCCTTTGCTTTAACAAATCTACATGCAAATTACTCAAATTATGTTTCCTCACTCAGATAATAATTGGGACACAATTTGATAAAAGAAAAGAATGTACATTAAATCAAGATACCATCCTAAAAATATATACAAGTTCATATACACAAGTTTTCACAACACAATAATTAACAAATAGGCTTAAAATACATTTTTAGTCCTCATAAAAGAAGCAGGTTTTAATTTCGGTCCATATCCTGTACCAAAAAAAAATCATTTCATGTCTCTAAAATTTGGAATCATTGTTTTCAATCCCTACTATTGTATGATCCTTGTTAACTACTTTAAGTGACGATCTCAAGTGACAGCCACTACTGTTTGTGATACCATATCAACTTATGACACTTTTAAAAATCTTTATGGATTCTTGAAACAAATGCTGTTTTTCTACCTAAAAATGAATGTTATGAACTAAAAAATAGTAACTTTAGATATTAGAGGATGAAAATTAAACAATATTTATAGAGATCAAAACCAAAAACAATAATTTCAAATTTTGAAGAGGTGAAAAAACAGAGAAAAAATTTAAAAGAACCAACATCAAAACTTGTTTATTTTACAATGACTAAAAACATACTTAAGCCTTAATAAATATGTCATTTCTATCTTATACATTTATTCACAGGAACATCATAAGAGTCAGTTTCTATATTTTTTGTTCACACATTACTCCCTTCTTAATCATATACACCATTAGATAGGTTTAGAATCACGTCATTCAACCAAAAACATAGATCTATTTCAATATTCGCAAGTAACGATCCGTTACACGAGCACCGCGCGAATCAGGTATATGAACTTCTTTCGGTTTTATGATACGACGTCGTCTACTAGTGTAGTAGAGTCAGGCCTTCTAAATGGCTCATAAGTCATAATTACCCTTCTCTTATATTCAATAATTTTACATTTTTATTCTTACTTTTTACCTTACGGAAAACAACTCAAAATTGTGTAGTAAAAAAACTAAAGCGCTCGCGTATTCTTCAAAATATGTAAGCTTGTGTCTGGGTAAGGAATTTTAAAATTTTAGATAATTTAAAATTTTAGATAATTTAAAATTCTTTATTTTTAATTGAAATTCTTTTATTGTTTAAATATTTTATTTAGATGGAGTAATTTCAAAATTTTGGATTTAAACTATTTTTTTTTATATAATACTTCAATTTTCACATAAGCAACATTTCATTTTTAAATATTTATTCAAGAAATTAATATTTAATTTTAAACTTTATGTATTGTCTAAAAATTATTAAAAAAAATAAATATTTGTCTATTTTTAAATATTTTATAATTGAATTCTTTAAAATAATATTTAATAATTGAAAATTAATTTTAACATTAGACAGTTTTTTATAATTCAAAAATAATATTAGATGTTGTATTTAATTATTTTTTTTATGAATTTACAAATGCACT